AGTCTTTGACTCACTCCATTTATTCTCAGTCAGAATGCATTTAACCCGCACCTTACTCATCTCATACATATGCATTTCAAACAGTTGATTTGTGTTTGCTTTGTGGTAAATAACCTAGGTCTCTTTTTATCTGACACAAGGCAGTGAAATAATTCTGTCAATTTCACAAGAGGACATTGCTTTAATAAATGAGATAAATCTGAATAGCACTGTACACTGAATCAAAAAGTGATATAGCTTTAAACACCTTATTCTGCTTGTGTGTGTGGACAGCTAACCAGCAAGGCCTTAGACCCCTGCAAAGGGCTTAGAATGTTATTGAGATGCTGTGGTCAAGCAGCTTGTAACATGATAAGTATCGGCCTGCTTTAACTACCAGCTCAGATTCACCAAGATCAGTCATTTCTGTAAGCAATTTAAGTGTCTTTCCTTTACGGGAGTTCACTCATTCTGCTCCGCATCTACTTTACCATGATGTGGCTGAGTTCTTTTCCATGTCTACATATTGAATCACTCCAAAGGCAAACTGAGCAAACACATGGTGTGAGCAAATGTGATATGAATCAATAAGCTGCAATAAAGGAGCATAAATTGAATATACAGAACAACAGCTATAATTGGATGCATGTTGTTCAATCAGTACAACTTATTTTCCTCTAACAATACAAGATACAAAATACACCATGCTTCTCCACAGCAGTGTGTAATCTTCAGTGACTTAAGATGACTTTTAACTGTCTACCAGCAGTTCTAACATCTTGGTCATATTGGACATCCCTACAACCTTCTTTTCATTCTCACTGTTCACCTCAAGTTTAAGCTAGCAGGGCATTTAAAATTTACTGAGACAAATTGAAAAATATTTATTGATACAATTTTTGAGGAGAAAGGATTTCCCATTTATATATTCAATAAACTTTTGTTTAGATCCATTTTAAAACAAAATGTGTAAGAATATATTTGTTTGAACATAATGTGAGAATACATAAAGAAAACAATGTTTTAAATCACCCAAATTTGATTTTAAAAAAGACACTTTTATTGAAACTATTTGTAGAGACAAAAGTCTAAAAGTTCAAAATATGACACGTGGTCAATTAAGAAGGTTTATTGGCAGAAACCATTGTCATTGCATTTCAAATATGCCATATTATAAATTAGTTATATTGATAGCTATCTGCAATGCCATCCAACCTATTCCATTCATTGTTGCATTTGTACTGCACTGTATTGTAGATGCTATATCAAACTGTGCTGAGGAGAATAGGTGGAAATCATTGTATTTGTACTCACAAAAAAATCATTTCAGCTGACACATATCTACAGTACAAAAATTTCACAAATTAAGTAGCTTATAAAAGGAAAAAAAAAGTCAAGTTGCAGCATCAAGAACAGGTGTCATAGAACTTGAAGCAACAATTCTTGCTTCATGAATACTGGTATATTGAAATTCACATTCAGATAACAGATTGATAACTACTTCTGCTGTATCTTTGGTATTTGCATCTTATTCATCACAACCGTGTTCAAGTATTAAAATCATATTTCTTTTTGGAACAACAAAGAAAGCACAAAAATACAACTTCGGTGTAATAGATAAATAGGGTGAAAAATAATTAATTTTCAACAGAGGAATGTATCTGAGAAGAAAGATTTTATTCTTCAATGCCTTTCAACTCACTGTCTCATATCTTTGTGAAGTATAATTTGGTGAAAATTAATTCTGTCACAGTCCAATAAAGCTTTTCTTCTCCTTTCATAAAATTTTAAGAAGGAAATTATTATTTTTATTAAAAATGATGTCATACATTTTAAACAAAGATTCAGCCACAAAACCTGTAATATCAACACACAAAGATTATGGAAGATAATTTATTGATTGGTTTTGTTGATGGCTTAAATAATTTTAGTAATGGAAAGAGTGAAAATTGCAGAGTTCTAAGGAAAAAGCTAGGAAGGGTTGAGTGACTGCTTAAAAATTGGCTGTTGGAATTTAATGTTGGAAAATATGAGGCTACGCGATTTGGCAAGAAGAGTAGAGAAGCTAAATATTATTTATTTGGGGAAGGACTAGAGAAAGCTGCAGCATAGGATGATTTGGGGGTCCTTGTGCATGAATCATAACATGCCATATCAGTGGACAATGGGAAGGCAAATGAACTGTTGGCCCTTAATTCAAAGGGAATAGACTATAAAAATAAGGTAAGTCTTGCTCAAACTACAGAAGGCACTATTTAGACTGCAGTTAGAATACAATAAACTTTTTTGTTCCCTTTATCATAGGAAAGATATACCAGGAATCGAGGCGGACCAGAGAAAATTCAAAAAGTTGATCCCAGGTTTGGAGGAATCTTCTTATGAGGAGAGGTTGGACATGTATGCTTTGGAGTTTAGGAGGATGAGAGGCATCCTGATTAGAATATATAATATTCTTAGAGGCTTGACAGGGTAGATGTGATGAGGTTGTTTCTACCTGTGTGAGAGTCTAGGATTAGGGAGCCTAAACTCAGTGTAAGAGGTCACCCATTTAAGAGATGAGGAGGAGGAACATCTTCTCCAAGCGGGTTGTGAATTTGTAGAAATATTTACCACAGAGGGTTATCAAAGATAGTGTAGAGGTGCTAGAGTTGGGCTGGGGTGGACAAAGTCAGAGGTCACACAACACCTTTATTTGAAATCACAAGCTTTCGGAATGCTGCTTCTTCGTCAGGTGGAGACTTCACCTGAGGAAGAAGCAGCACTCCCAGTTTCAAATAAATCTGTTGGACTATAACCTGGTGTCTTGTGACTTCTGACTTTATCAAAGATGGGTCATTGAGTATATTCAAAGCTGAGACAGCAGATGTTTGATCAGTAAGGGAATCGGGGGTTATGATGAAAAGTCAGCAAAGTGGAGCTGAGGGTGATCAGATCAGCAATGATCTCATTTAATAGTGGAACAGACTTGATGGGCAGGATGGCCTTCTTTTGCTCGAGCATCTTATGTTCTTATAGAGAAGGACTACTTAGATAACATTTTCAAAAAGCTGACATGGGTACAATTGGCTCAATGACTTCACTGTATGCTCTCAAGATTGTATGACATAGAAAGAGGTACAGCTAGATTGGGTGTTGGCTAACAAGGGAGTCAAAGGCTATCAGGGATAGCCAGAAAGGTGGAAGTCACAATCAGATTAGCAATTTTCTTACTGAATGGCAGGGCAGGCTCAAGTGAATGGCTTATTTCCAAAGTTAATTCGTATGTTTGCGTGTGCATATGTTGATTTTATAATCTACAATAATGCTGAAAACTTTATGTATTATGAGTATATACAATTTGAGGCACAGCCAATCAAATATCTCCATATAAGTAACGCAAAGTAATAACATATTGCATTAATATTTGTTGTAAGCACAATCACATAAATTGCTTGTTCTTCTGTGGCCAAAAGAAGATTCTCATATTCAAGTAAAATTGAATGGAATGTGTGTGTGGTGGATAACAGGACATATTAATAACTAGTTTTCTCCTCTAAACTAATTTATTTGATTGCTTAGAAGACTAAATCACTGTAAACTTAGTCGCAAAAATTACCAGCTCTATGTTGAATCATTTTACTTCCGTATATTGAAGCTATATTGCCAGGGACAGATTCAACCCTGTCAGAACTTGTCCAGAATACATTTCTTTATTGCATGTCAAAACAGAAGTGACTAACATTTGCAGCTGATTAAATTGCTGTCCCCAAAAGTACTGATGGCTACAGTACACAGTGACAGCTACTATGGAACTTCTGAATAATTTAAATCGGCCTTTTAGCAGATTCAAGCTGGTCATTGGAATTCTGGAAAAATGAATTTCATTACTTTAAAAACTCTGGTTCCATGCTGATGCATAAAAAACAGGTCAAATTACAAGTGACATTCTCGAACTCTCTGTATTCCTTAGCTTCTGTTAAGTTGTAGTCTTTGTCTATTCCTTTATAAAATTAAACTATTATTGAATCAACAAAACAACAGAGCCATGCACCAACTCTTCTAAGTGTAATGTCACACAATTTTTCAATTTTTAATTCTCATGTCCATAAATCTGGGAAGTTTTGCTTAAGGAGAAAGCCATAATGAAACCATAATTCATATTTAAAGGAGCTGCTTTGAAACTGCCAAGTTAATATTCACTCAGCTCAGACTTGCAGGGCCAAGCATAACTTTATAAAACAGTTTTTGGAACTATAGTTTGCTAATATATTGTTCAAACTATCTCATGACGCTTAATATATGCTACAGTATACATTGATTAGAATATTTAAGAAAATAAAATACCAGTTGGACATATGTCTTGTAAACCTTGAAAAAAAACTCACTAAATTGACTTGAAATTTGCATAATGCATTGGGTGGTTTCTGGTGAGTTATATATGTGTGTTGAGTCAAGTTGGTTTGAGATAAATATGTGCACAAATATTGAACTAAAATCTGAAACATTCAAGTTCCAAAAAGCAGCGAGGTCCTCAGACCGCTGAAATTCATCTCTAACAAGCAGTTGCTTTGTGCCTTGGTTGGGTTTTTTGCCTCTTTCTTTCCAATATGCAAGAATCCAGCAGTCATTTGAAATAAATTGACAGCACAGGTGAAGGGCTGTCAGTTCTGAAAGCAACTGTTCTCAGGACTGGAGTGAAGTAACATTGGGACACTATCTCGATTGCGTAAAATTCAGAGAAAAAAAATACAATTTGTACAGTCTATTGCATATAACACATGCAAATGCATGACTTGTCTCAATAAAATTTTAAAATTAAAGGGAGATAAATTTTCCTTCATCAGTGTTGGTTGAAGAAGTTTATAACAAAGGTAAAACACAACTAACCAGTGTACATAAGGCATCAGAACCATGTAAAAAAAATACTGTCTGAAGGGAGACAGTAGTTTGAAATGGATGATTCTTAAACAATCAGTCCACTCAATAGAGAGAAAAAAAAACCATAATTGCAAATGTCAAAGTAGTTGAATTCAAGTACCTACCTGTAACTGTTAATTCTGTCGTTCTTCTTACCACAAAACTTCTGAACTTCACTTCGCATGTGTAATTTCCAACATCATCTTCTGTTACTTCGCGTATTAGAAGTGTGTCTCCCTTCTGAATGATAGATTTTCGCCAGTCCTTTGCCTTGCATTCCTGTTCAGAAACCACGGTATGCTATAGCATCCATTTCCATTGTCACACAGCATTTTTTATTTTTTAAGTAAATGTTGTTCAATAAAAGAATAAAAGTTCTGAAGAAGAGTCACTGGACCCAAAATACCAACTCTGTTGTCTCTGCACAAATGCTGCCAGGCCTGCTGTGCTTTTCCAGCAATTTCTGATTTTGTTTCGGATTTCCAGCATCCACAATTCTTTGCTTTTTTTATAATTCATGAAAAAATTTACACAGCTATTTAAATAAAACATGTACTCGAGAAACAAAATAAATTATCACTGCCTTACCTTATACCACACGACAGGCTCACTGTCTGGGAGAATGAAATCTTCAATATCTGGACATGATATTTCTTTACTCTTGCTGAGCTCAGCTTTTTCAAAATATTTCATTCTTGTATTGTAGCAAAGGCCTGTATCATTTTCAGCTACAATCAGTGACATTGAAACCTTCATGCAGTATGTAGTATTCCTAAAGGGTCAAAGATATAAAAAAATGTTGAAAATAGCAATGAACACATGTTTAAAATAAAAAGAATTGGAATTAATTATATTGAAGGGTAACTAAATTATCTCAAACAAACTAAGAACATTTTTAGTTTGCACAATATATAACACTCATTATATAGGGTTCATATACAACAAATTGTATGCTGTTGTCAGTTCACACATCAGTCTTGTTTTCATACGTCTGCTCTCACCAAAGCAGATTTTTTTTCTATTATTTCCATTTACCATTAACACCTATTTTGCTGCTATATCTGCCCTCAACAGATATTAGCACTCCCTTCGCTTTTAGCAATGGGCATCCTCATCATCTGTTCCACTGGCTCCTCCCTACCACCCCCTCCCACACCCCACATTGATATCTATAATTTTCCAGTCTACATCTGAAGGAGAATCATATTGGACAAAATGTTAACTTCATTTCTCTATCCATGCTGCTTGACCTGTGGAGTTTCTCTAGTACTTTGTTTTTTTTATTTCAGATCTCCAGCATTCATAGTATTTTAAAATTACTTTGATAACTGATTGTTGCTCCATCATGAATTGATCAAAGTGTTCAAGTCGGACTGGTGATTGTAACAGCCAATGTTTCGTTTAGCAACTACAGAATATGTTTGTGAAGACTCAACCCACTTTCCATTCCTTTCAATCTGCTATCTTCAAAATCCTAATTTGATAACACATACATAATATACCAGACAATGAAAATGCCCAGTTAGGATGAAATGTCAATTTTCAGTTTACTGTGAAAAGACTTGGGGTAAAAAGTTCCCCATTTGAGGCTTCTTTTATTGAGTGAGAATCATGGTGCCCAGTCCACCGTGGCTCACAGCAACTTTTCTCACTCTTTCTTCTGCTCTTCACCTCATTAACAATGCATCTGGGCTCTCAAGTGCCTATTTCATGCAATCACACGTCTGACAAGGCATGAATCTTACAGTGCTCACACCTCTGGCATTATATTTTAAAACTAGCAGTTCACCACTTCAGAAGCTGTAAGCCAGGAACTGCCTCTCACACAATAGTTCTGCACCAGAGATATGGAAATGCCAGTGAATGGGGTGGGAGAGAGAGCCAGGTTTGTGGACAGCGAATGAGACTATGCCACCAGACCAGCCAACTTGGACTGAGATCATGGCCCAGGTCAGTGTCAATTCGCAGGTGAAATGCAATGCACAACAGTGTGGGAAAAAAGTTCTTCTGCACTCTGTAACTCTTCTCTCTGCTCCCTTACATTCCTGGGGCTACTACTTACTCTAACTCTACCACTGCAGACACTGCTCATCAGATTCATGAGGTACAGCTCTCCCTAATTCATGAAACATATCCAGTCTACAGCTGTTACTAAACTCATCTTCCTAAAATTATGACCCATTCCTGCTTACTCACTAGAGACACCTTACAACTTCTGCTCCTGTATCAACCACAAATACTTCTTTTGTACTCAACCCCATTACACATAGCAGGAAAACATGTTTCACAACTGGGGACAATAACAGTGGGACTCATGTCAAATGGTACAATCAATCCTGGATTTGGCTGGAGACTGCTCATCTGGGAATGGGGGAGAGGTCAAAGGGCAACCAACCCAGTTCACTTCATTGTGCTGTACTTCACTACTCTCTCATTACCACCAACCTTAACTTGTTTGTAATTTGTGCAAGCTTCCATCCTTCTTTTACAACGAATTCTCTCTCTTCTGTTCAGCAGGCCAACTATACAGCAGGCTCCCTCCATCCCTGCTGCAGAAGTTGGAGCATACTTAGACATGGCTGTAGAGAAAAAAACTTACTGATGCCACATAGTTTGCAAGTGAGGTGCATCATTGTACATTATCTTAGTTTATAAATATAGTTGCATTTGCACTCTAAAAAGTCTGCTACAGTGTCTTGCTGGCATTAGACCTGGTGACATCATACCTATTTAAGAGATAAACAGCCTCTTCAGACATCCCAATGATGAAAGAAGTTATAATGGCCTAGGATTGCTCATTTCCCACAAGCAACTGACTCCTCAGGTACAGATAGCATCAGATGTCACTGGTTCTTGAATTATTATATTGAATACTGCAGCCAAGGCATTGCTCCTTAATGTGGGCAACACTGAGGTTAAAAACAATATGCAGGAATTGAGTTAGGCTGGAAGACATGCTCCATCCTTACACCCACCTTACAAGTGATGAGTCTACACATCTCTGCAAGCTTTTCAAAGGACAGCATGTTAAAATATGGCTTGAAGGTGCACAATGAACAGTTCACATGTCCACTCTCCTTCACTACATTGAGTTTTACAGACAGAAACTGAATAAAGCACTTTCTCAGGTCAAATGTTGTTCTCGAAGATGCTTAAGCATTTCAGGGCAACTTAGCAATCTTCCAAACTCTGAAACATTGAAGGCTAACCAATGATAGCAAGGTAAAAGGGGTTGCCTCAGGATTCTTCTCATGACAGACTTCACTGCACAACACGTGGATAACACATACTGACCAAAGCCTTAACAATTATGACCCATTGCATCATACAAAGTTGGTGCCCAGTTTGACTGCTGTTATTTTCCCCAAATGGCCAGTAGGACATATAATGTTAACTCTGTTTTTTCCTTCACAGATGCTGTCAGACCTGCTGAGCTTTTCCAGAAACTTTGTTTTTGTTCCTGATTTACAGCGTCTACAGTTCTTTCGGTTTTTAGATAATGTGTAGATGTTTGAAAGGGGAATCACCCAAAGAAATGAAGTGTACAATAAGATGGATAACTAAGTATTTATTCAGTAACAGAAATGTCAAGGACTGTAAAAATTACAAGGTCTACATTTCCTTTGGACCTAGTAAGTTATTCTTACCATGTAACCATCAGAGAGGGACACAATTAAAGGAAGCCCAAATCCAGCTCATTGATCCTAACTGGGTTTTAATTAGGTTCAGAGATAGCAAAAACAGCAGATGCTGGAGTCAGAAATAACACAGTGTGGAGCTGGAGGAGCACAGCAGGCCAGGCAACATCAGAGGAGCAGGAAAGTTGATGTTTCGGGTCGGGACCCTTCTTCACAAATGAGGAGGGGGAAGGGAGCTCAGAAATAAATAGAGAGGAGGGGTGTGGCAGGGGAAGGTAGGTGGGTAGATGGGGAAGGTAGATGGTGATAGGAGAATGCAGATGGTGGTGGGGATTGGTCAGTGAAGTGGGAAGGGCAGATAGGTGGCCGAGAAGATGGACCGGTCGTGTCAGGTCAAAGAGGCAGGGATGAGCGGGAGGTTGGACATGGGACGACACCGGGAGTGGGGAGATTTTAAAACTGGTGAAATCTAGGTTTAGGCCATCGGACTGTAGGTTCCCGAGGCGGAATATGAGGTGTTACTCCTCCAGTTTGCGCGTGGTGTCATTGTGGCACTGGAGAAGACCCGGGATGGACATGATGCCCAGGGAGTGGGAGGGGGGAGTTAAAATGGTTGGCAACCACAAGGTGTTGTTTGTCGCGTACAGAGCGCAGATGCTCTACAAAATGGTCTCCGAGCCTACATTTAGTTTCACCAATGTAGAGGAGGCCACATCGGCAGCAGTGGATACAGTAGGCCAATTTGGCTGAGGTACAGGTAAACCCCTGTCTGATATGAAAAGTTTGTTTTGCACCTTGAATGGAGTTGAGGGGGGAGGTGTAGGGGCAGGTTTAGTACTTCCTACGGTTGCAGGAAAAGGTGCCAGGTGTGGTGAGGTAAGTTGGGAGTGTGGAGCGGATGAGGGAGTCACGGAGTGAGTGGTCCCTACGAAAGGCAGATAGGGGTGGGGAGGGAAATATCTCTTTGGTTGTGGGGTCGGATTGTAGGTGATACACTGGATATAGAGGTTGGTAGGATAATATGCGAGGACAAGGGGAAATCTGTCTTTATTTTTGGGGGAGGATTTTGAGGACAGAAGTGCGGGAAATGCAAGAGATGCAGTTGAGGGCATTTTTGATCACTGGAGGGGGGCAGTTGCAGTCCTTGAAACAGGAGGACATCTGGGATGAGCCGGAGTGGAGCGCCCCATCTTGGGAACAGACACGGCAGAGGTGGAGGATTTGGGAGTAGGGGATCGCATTCTTACAGGAGAGTGGGTGAGAGGAGGTGTAGTCTAGTTAGCTGTGGGAGTCAGTGGGCTTGAAATAGATGTCAGTTTCGAGGCAGTCACCAGAGATGGAGACAGAGAGGTCCAGGAAGGAAAGGGACGTATCGGAGATGGTCCAGGTGAATTTGAGGTTAAGGTGAAAGGTGTTAGTAAAGTTGATGAACTGTTCAAGTTCTTTGTGGGAGCACAAGGCAGCGCTGATACAGTCATCAATGTAGCAGAGGAGGAGGAGGTGGGGGATAGGGCCAGTGTAGCAGCAGGAAAGGGACTGTTCCACATATCCTTCGAAGAGGCAGGCATAGCTTTGGTCCATGCAGGTGCCCATGGCCAACCCCTCGGTCTGTAGGAAGTGGGAAGAGTTAAAGGAGAAGTTTTTCAAGGTAAGGACAAGTTCCGTTAAGCGGATGAGGGTGTCAGTGGAGGGGGACTGGTTAGGCCTGCAGGACAGGAGGAAGCAGAGGGCTTTTAGGCCATCTGCATGGGGAATACAAATGTACAGGGATTGGATGTCCAAGGTGAAAATGACGAGTTGGGGGCCAGGGAATTGGAAGTCTTGGAGGAGGCCGAGGGCATGGGTGGTGTCCCTGACATAGGTGGCAAGTTCCTGGACCAGTGGGGAAATGACCTGACACAATCTGTCCAGCTTCTCTCCCACCTATCCGACCCACCCCGCCTACTGACCAAACCTGACCACTTCCTACCTGCACTCACCAATCGCCATCCCATCTACGTTCCCCAGCCCTACCCCTCCTCTCTCTGTTTATTTCCCAGCTCCCTTCCCCCTCCCCATTTCTGAAGAAGTGTCCCAACCCAAAACATTAACTTTCCTGTTCCTTCAATTAGGTTCAGTTTGGCTTTGCAGTTTC